AATTAGGAAGAAAATTATTTGAATAATTTATGTTGTTTATCATATATGAATCCATCTACATGTATATATATCCCTACTTTTGTTTTAATAAAACATAAGAAAATATTCAGTATTCATTTTTCTAATTCTTACATAATATCAGAGATAGAGTTAGGATTAGGGTTTTAGTAGTAAAATTTCATCGAACCAAAAAAAGAGTTCAACAATCCATTCCCGGCGCCGGAGAAAGACAACCACCAATCTCCACCCAATTCAGAGTGCGGCCAGCACAGTGGTGTAAACGGGAGAAGTCGAGGAAGAGGTTCATGTAGCGGTTTGATATTGCATACGGCGGGAGTGCCGAAGGAGAGCATTCCCGTGTGTGTTCGGTTCCCGTTCAAGGATAGAAGCAATAATGGGGCTCGGTCGACCGTCTCTATGCACGAAACCAGAAGGCCAAAGAAGGAAAAGGCGCAGCGGAGCAAATTGTGCAACAACAAGCGATTCTCCGCTCTTCGACGCGATTTTGGCTATTTCTGCGAGCGCCATTCCAAATTAGGGCCAGCATTGGAGTTTTGTGGTGATTCTCAGCCGAAAGAGGCTGTTAGTGGTTTCAGACGGCAGCACGTGTAACTTCGATGGCGGCATGTGGTTCTCCGGCGGCAGGGCGTGCGACGGCGCAGATCCTCCGGTGGTTGACAATGAGGTTCTGGTAGGGTTGTTGATACCCGTACATAAAGAAGTACTCTGTTTTTCTCAAATTTCCTGATATATTTGCAGTATTTTTAGTGCGTCTCTACCTGCTGTATTTGAGTATTTTTGAGTGATAATTTGTGAATATTCTCAAGTTAAGAATGAGTCATAACAAGTTTTCGGTGAATGAGATAGTTTCGATCATGTTAAAGACCATTGAGCAGAAATTAAATGGCACAAATTATCTGCAGTTGAACAAAACTATTAAAGTTTATCTACGCAGTATTGATAAGGATGATCACTTGACTCAAGACCCTCCCACTGATGGAACTAGACAAATCTGGCTAAGAAATGATACACGGTTATTTCTGCAGATCAGAAATTCGATTGACAGTGAGGTAATTAGCTTAATTAATCACTGTAACTCTGTTAAAAAATTGATGAATTGTTTAGAGTTTCTATATTCAAGAAATGTGTCCCACATGTATGATGTTTGTAAAGCTTTCTATCATGCTAAGAATGAGGTCAAATCTCACACGGCCAACTTTATGGAATTTAAAAAAACATATGAAGAGGTTAATGTACTTTTGTCATTTAGTGCTGACATCAAGGTACAGCAAACACACAGAGAGCAGATGGTCATAATGAGTTTCTTGGCTGGTCTTCCATCTAAATTTGAGACTGCTAAATCTCAAATCTTATCTACTTCCGAGATCACATCTCTTCAGTAAGTTTTCACTAGAGTGTTACGCACAGAGACTACCACATCTAATCAACATACTAATGTTTTTATTACTAGAAGATGAGGAAGAAATAATAACAGGAAGGAAACAGAGCAACAGATAGTTGGTATAATGATTCAAGTAATATTGTTTGTTATTACCGTCATGAGCCAGGACATGCAAAGCGGCAATGAAAAAAATTACAGAATCGAAATCAGAGAACACAAACTGTGAATATTGCTACTGCTACTACTACTAGTTTATCTTCTGAGAAAACTATTATGGTTTCAGTCGACAAGTATGTAAAATTCTCTCAGTTTCAAAAATATTTGAAAGACCCCAGCCACTATGTCTACTGAATCAGGTAAAAAATGTCTTATTTCATCATCAAACAAATGAGTAATTGATTCTAATACTACAGATTACATGATAGGTAACTCTAATATTTTCTCTAGTTTTCAATCACACAAAACACCATCTCCTGTAACTACTGTTGATGGGTCAACCAATAGTATTGAGGGTTCTAGGACTATAAAACCAACTCCTGCCATTACCCTGACATCTGTTTTAAGTTTACTCAAACTTACTTTCAATTTGATTTCTATAAATAGACTTATCAAATATCTTAATTATTGTATCTTATTCTTTCCTGATCATTATCTTTTTTAGAATATTATAACGAATCAGATTATTGGTAAATGACATGTATCAGAAAGTCTCTACATTTTTTATAATTGGGTGCCTCGATCAGTTTTGCTCTAGTATTGTCTCTCCATTTAAAGCCCATTATCAGTTGAGGCATACATCTCTCACTGTATTGAAAAAATTATGTTCTCAGTTTCATGATATATCTTCATTAGATTGTAAGTCATATCAGTTTATAAAACATCATTATAACTCGTCAAGTCCAAGAATAAATAAACGAGTTGAATTTGCTTTTGAATTAGTTCATTCTGATATTTGGGGTCCATGTCATGTTATGTCTAAAACAGGGATTAAGTATTTTGCAACTTTTATTGATTTTTTTTAAATAAATTGAATATACTTTATGAAAAATCGTTCTGAAGTGTTTGCTCATTTTTGTATTGTTCATGCGGAAATCAAAACTCAATTTAATGTTTCTGTGCATGTGTTAAGAAGCGATAATACTAAAAAATATATGTTAAACTCATTTCAGAATTATATGACTCAACATGAGATTCTTCATCAGTTTTTTTGTGTTGATACACCATCTTAAAATGGGGTTGCTGAGAGAAAAAATAGACATTTATTTGAGACAGCTCAAACCCTCTTGTTTCAGACAAAAGTTTTTAAGTAATTTTGACCTGATGTTGTATCCACTGTCTGTTTCCTGATTAATCGTCTACCATTTGCAGTAATCGAAAGTAATATTCCTTACAGTATTCTTTTTTCAAACAAATTATTATTTCCGGTACAACCACGGATCTTTGGTAGTACTTGTTATATTCGAGATGTTCAACCAAATATTACTAAATTGGATCCCAAAGCCTTGAAGTGTATCTTTTTGAGATATTCTCTCCTGCAAAAAGGATATCAGTATCACTTTTCAGATGTCAATAAATATCTAGTGTCAGCCGATGTAGTCTTTTCAGAAAGTATATCGTTTTTCTCCTCACAGTCAAATTTTACAAATCAGGTGAAAGAAGATGAGTGACTCATTTATAGATTCTATAACAGTATCTCTACAGAGCAACCGGATAATAGTATTTCTTCTTTTGTGCCTTCTAAACAAACTGATGATAGTATGCCTCCAACTCAAGAACAACCGTCCATTATTTATATTTATTCCAGAAGATAACAGACTAATGATACATGTCATGCACTAACTTCTTCGTCATCTGATCATTCCACCCATGATCTTGATCTTCCCATCAGTTTTCGTAAAGGTACACGTTAATGCACCCTTCCTCATTCTACTTATCCTATAACTAACTTCATTTCATATGATCATTTGTCTCATTCGTCTAACTCTTTAATTGCTTTTATAGATTCCATTTCCATGCCCAAAATAATTACGAAGGCTCTGAATCACTCTGGTTGGCGTAATGTCATACTTGAGAAAATAAATGCTCTTAATGATAATCATGCATGGGATCTGCTAGATTTACCCAAAGAAAAAAAGGTTGTGCGGTGCAAATGGGTATTTGCAGTCAAAATGAATCCAGATGGCTCTATGGCGAGACTTAAAACTCCATAGGTATCAAAAGGTTATGCTCAGACTTATGCGGTGGACTATTCTAATACATTCTCTCCAGTAATAAAACTTACCTCTGTCTGTTTATTCATATCTATTACAGCCTCTAAAGATTGGCATTGCACCAGCTAAATATTAAAAATGCATTTCTTCATAGT